TATTATTATTATTATTATTATTATTATTATCACTGTTATTTTGACTATTATCTCCTTTATCAGAAAAAGATACTTGTACATATGGTCAGAATTTGATAACCAAAAGATGGTTATCATTGGATGCACAATCGTTAGAAGTAAAATGGCACCAGCAAACCTCCATAACAAATTGTCCCGCATATGTACCCGTCATCGTTGAGCTTTGTCCAGCAGCCCAAATGCCAACTGCCCAAACGTATAAAGCAACCAAACCGAATTCGCAACCCAAAAATATACCACCCTTATAGATGTCAGCCTCAACCGTCTCATTCGTGTACGGGAAGGCATCTCGATCTGCGATACCCGATCGAGCATCACAACTTTGACGCTGAAGAGAGGAAAAACAAAAGCAAATACTGCCTTTTCAAAAGTATACGAATGAAGTTCGTTTTCACTTTTCAAGCAGATTAATACGAAAAATCTTAATACGAATTGCGAATGAACATGCATTAAAGAAACCTTAAAAAATAATAAGATTATTCTGATCATGATACTGAACTAAACGAAACGAAGCGATTGACCAACCACTTCAAAATTGGTCTTATGATAGAGACCATGTCCAAAAACAGCTACAACGAAAAGATTTATGATGAAACTACACAATAAAGCAACACCCGATTCTATAAAATAATAATAATTCGCCTCCTCGACTAATCGACGCTTTGTACGATTCACATCGCGACTCTGAAAGTCGACATTGTTTACATGACATTAGTGGTAATGTGGATAACATTACAATATTATTGTTATAACATTGCAATATTGATAACATTATAATATACAATTATTATTTTCTAAAAACCAACTTTGACCAGTGCAGAATGCAAATAAAGATTATGTGGCATTATTACGGCACCCACAATGCTAACGCCCTGAAGGAATTCGGCACGTCCACATCCACTGCACCATGGTATTACCATACCTTTCAACACTTCCAAATGGTTTGGTTTCACGGTTATGTACTACAAAATTGTTATTGCTTTAGCTACAGAGGTACTATTAATAGTCGATTAGAACTACTATTAATAGTCGATTGCTTACTTCATAACCGAAAGTAACAGCCATGGTTGTGATAAGAAATGCGAATAAACCTTCGAGCTTACGAAATCCATACGTATCAAGAAAGAGGAATAGAAATGTATCAAGAACGGTTATTAATACACCGATATACAGACGAATACTGAAATGATCTCTTCATTAATGATATACAGAATGATAATAATTCTCAGCATCAAATTCGATTTCTTTTCGAATTTTTAAGTTCATTCGAATGGAACAGAATGAACGTTTTGATCCTTATGAGAACACGCATCAACAGATGAGTATTAATCAATCCACATGATGACAATTTTACTAAATGGCAAATAATTGTTTTAAAAACGAATTAAATGAAAGTAATGTGTAAGAGGAAGATTATGTTTAAAACAATGAAATAAAGTTGCAACGTACAATCCATTTGTGAGTAAGTAGAAAGCGATTGAAGTGCCGATCACTTCTTGCATATCGCTACCGATAATCGCAATTTCAATCATTATCCACAGAATTAACCTCGGTATCGTCGGATAATATTCGTACGCTACCTGAAGTGAATTTGCTTATGGAAAAATTATTTACATGCATAGTCCTATTGAGCTAAACGAGAAAGTAGCCCTACACCACTGTGCCCGCCAAATCAATGGTCGAAGTTAGACTTTCATGAGGATAGACGATTGATTCCCTACGTTAGCTATGCCGGGAGCAGGACATCGGCGAAGCAAGAATGTGATATTGGTGATAAGAGAAAGGCATAAAGCTGTGACGAGCTATTGTAATTGCTGATTATAGTGCTGATTACATAAACAGTATGTTTATAACAAATGATATCATCAACTAATGCTAATAATACCACTAATTAACATCGTTATTATTGCTATCACTCTAATTCTTACTTCAGCCATATGTCGTCCGCTAACAACGCCAAGACGAGATGAGAGCCTTTGCAAAAGAAAGCCAAGAAAGTGTGCCGATAGAAGAACCCATAAAAGCTGAAATAAATATTCACAAAGATGATTATTATAAAAAAAATATTCATATTACATGTGAATACTATCGCATATGTGTATTTTATTATACTAATAATAACAACTTTATTATCAATCACCGTTGACTGACCTAAAAATATGTCTGTGTTTGGTATAAATGTGTGCAAATAACATACTCGATATTTGGCATGTGCACCTGACTGTAAATCACTTTCAATATTACCCGGATCCAAATAAGCAATGCTCATCAAAAACCCTGGTCCTGTGAAGGCCCAAAGTTTTCGAAAACTGAATCCTTTCTGAAACGCATTACACATAGATGATGTATGCTTGATATTGATTTTTTTTTACAAAAACAGCAAGAAAAATTTGTTCGAACATTTTTAATTGCAATGACAATTACAAATCTTTTCCTCCTTATTAGGACTATGAATATTATGAATTTTGAATCAAACTGCACTTTCTTAACGACTGAATACGAGTTTCTTTAATGAATTCACTTTAGAATCTTAATCAAGGATTTATTACTTATTTTTTGTTGGGAGATGAGAATGGAATTCTTGAAGCAAATATCAGTAAGCTGCTTTTCTTCGTCAATCTTTCTTAAGGTGGTTATTCGCCAATCAACAATTCTCATTTGAGAGAGATCAATATATTAAAGTATTGAAATCGCTAGGTCCCAGAGAATTTCTAATAGAATTCTTTCATTTTATTTCTACCACTCATTCGGTAAACTGTAATAAAAATCGCTAAGATCAAAACAGATCAGGATTATTGATATCGACGAGAAAAACATAACATGTCATCTTATTAATCAATGACATCAACAGGAAATTAAGTCTTTCCCAACATGTTTTCAATATTTTCGATATCAACAATCGCTTCGATAATTTAGCACATTGCTATTATCATTGGCCGTCAAAAAGTTGAACAATGAGTGACAAAATAAATAAATAAACAAATGCGAAATCATTACCTTTTCAGGATCATCCGGAATTTGAACACGACGATCTAAGAGTTCTGAACTGATTGGATGGATAGTTTGAGTTCTACCGTTTGAAGCATTTCCTCCTCCACCCAGTTCAACAATTTCTGTAGGCTGTGGCATTTTATTGCAATTATTGCTATTGGATTTAATGCTGCTAGATTGTTCTGGCTGATTATGATGAGCTGAAAATTTGGTAGTTTTAGTAACGAAATGCAAGCAGAAGAAATTCCATTTCAATCTTGTATTCGATTTGTTATTGTGAATGTAAAAAAGTAATCTGTTAGAGTACTCGTTGTCGTATAGTTGGATCGATTGCCACCGAAATTCGGTGGCAATCGATTTTCGGCGGTATAAACAGAAAATGTTTAAGAAGCAATAGAGATCAAAGAAGTATTCATTCAAGCCACAAAAGCAGAAGCAAAAGTGAAACATTCGATGGCCACTGACCAACAGACGAAATGATTGTCTTCGGTGATCACCCAAAATCAGGAGCCATTGACTTCTGGTGCCACCGACCGAAACCGAACGATGCCTACTGAACCAATAATCGGTGGCCACCGAAAAAAACCTTCCGGTTCCCAATTCTACTTTGTCCTACTGCACTTTTCTTCTACTTATCTATTGTCTAAAACGTACGGACACCTCAGTCTGATCTGACATGCCACCGTGTACCCCGTACAACAATTTACTACTCACATGCGCAACGTCAGAAGGGAATCAAAAGCCAATCCGGCAATTCATCTGTGGTGTGATTAATGCACACTAATTACTGATCACGATTAGGTGAGTTACACGCATTCAGAAAATGAGAGAAAGGAGTGAGCAGTGCCATGAGTGGACCGCATTTGGCTACCTAAGTCTCATCATGTCATAACAAATCCGAGAAAAGTTAGGTCGTCGACCACTTTAATTCACCGCAAACCCCTCCCAAATTCACCTTCAGGGGTGAATTTCACCTTCTGTGAAAACCGTTAATCTGGAGAACTAAGTCAGATTAGAACTGAGCTTGAACGAAAGCCTTCCAAATCCTTCCAAAATTTCAGAGACCAAGCGGGGTTTGTTTTGCAAAGCCTTGCTAAGGAGGACACGAACAACAAATTACTACACTTCAACTACTCACAATCAGTTCACCGACAACGATAGTTTTAATAGTAATCATATGATGACTTCACAATAACGTCAAATAAAAATATCTACAAAACGGAATTGCGTTCAACAAATCTCTTGTTTATGCTATTTATGGCTAGATAGATCGGATGCACTATAACGGCAATGTTTCTTAAAGTATGCATGGCAGTAGATCTTAAGATAATGATAATAATAATGATAATGACGACAATAACGATAATGACGATAATAATAATAACCATTATTATTATTGTTATTATTATTATTATTATTATTATTATTATTACTATTATTATTATTACTATTATTATTATTATTATTGTTACTATTATTATCATTATTATTATTAGTATTGGTATCATATCGGTTATCATTGTTACTTACATTGTTTTGTTACTTACACATCGAGCGGTTGTTTTGTTGATCGCGGTTAGCGATCGGCGGAATGCTTATTTTGTAGACTTATGAATATTTATTGGATTGATATTTGGCTACGTTTAATTGTGCAAAGTATTCACGGCAACTAATTAAATACTCGGTTGTACTCACTTGGCCTGCTCGCCTAGCCAGCGGGGTGGCTACAATCAAGGCTAAAACAGTGCGAACGGAAACGCGAGCATTGTGGCCAGCAACGTTACAAACGTTTGATAGCCTGGCCAATCCAGGTAATCCAGGTAATCATATCGGTATTAGTATTAGTATTATTACTAGTACTAGTATTATTACTAGTATTATTATTATGCAACGAAACTCACTCTAATAAGTAAGGGAAAATTAAACTGAAGTAGCATATCATTTACAAGTGTAAAACATTTGTGGGACTAAATAAATGACAGAATAAACAAAATGTGAAATTGATTATTGCATGAGCTGGCATTCAAATGAAATATTCAATTATAGATGTCTGTGAACTGTTTTATTGTGGTATGATGTAAAACGATTCCAAAACAGGTTCACCTCGTTTATTTTTCAGTTTTGAATGAGATCTTTATTCACATTGTAGTCACACATACATACTTACATCATCAGCATAAACACGCTCGCTTATTCTGTTGGATTAAAAGATGTTTTTTTTTGGTGTAAAACTGTGCGCCTTTTGTTGTGTTCAAATTCCAAAATTCATTCACCTGATTGATTGTAGACGTGATTCAATATTGCTAGATGGCCAATCTCCATAGATTTTTGGTTGAATCGCAAATTTTTTAGATTGCTAACAATGAGTGACTACGAGGAATTCTTATGAGGATTTTTCTCGTTTCGAATGCAAACTCTCATTTTCTTTTTTGCTTTTGAAAACGATTCAAGAGATGTTTCTTTAAAGCGAGAAATTTTATACAAGAGGTATATATGCAAAAAAAGTATTTCTTTCATCCATTACTGCTGTTATTGTTTTCTTCGGATTCGAATAATTTATGAATAGGTTTTTAAACGATACTGGCACTGGATCATATAATAGGATTGAAATTCTCATATGTATTTTCAGAACTATTTACCAAATAAACACGAGAACGACACTGTACATGTAGTTTTGTTTTTAACATTCTGCTTTCTTTTTTGGCGACATTTGATATCGGTTCAATTATTTTGTTCTGTTTTTACAGAAATAAATAATACGATTAGTAAAAAATCGATATCAAAGTACATTCGAATAAGTCCATTCGGTGAATGAATGATGGGAATAAAACAAAATTTATCTTATGATTCAGAAAATTTGTCATAATCAGAGAGCAGTGAAACATTTCATGAAGATAGCATTGTTTTGTAGAATCATGTTGAAGAGACAACTGGGTGATTATTACGGAATAGGGATAGCAATAATAATGACATGAATATTAATGAACAGGTGAGTGTGTGTTGCGATGCGCATTTTTGAATAGTGATTTGGATATTCGTAAACAGTAAAATAAAATAACTAAAACGACAGTAATAGTAATAATAATAACAATAGTAATAGTAATAGTAATAATAATAATAATAATAATAATAATAAAAGTATACCTGCATCTTCTGGAGGAATGAGGTCGACGTCCTCATCACCTTCTGTATTCGTGTAATCCAAACTTCCGTACATTTTTATGCCATATCTTAGTTATAACGATTATTCGGGGCTAAAATTCCTTCAATTATACATAAAATATGCTATCAAACGGCAGTCAGTACCCGTAATATTATCATTATCATGGTAGCAGCAATAGTAATAATAATAATAGTAATGATAATAATAGTAATAATA